CCCAGGGTGATGGTGAACTCCCCATCCCTGGAGGTGTTCAAGAGTAGCGTCAACATAGTGCTGGGGGATATGGTGTAGCTGGGAACTGTCAGTGTTATATTAATGGTTGGCCTGGATGATCTTCAAGGTCTTTTCCAACCTAGATGATTCTGTGATTCTGTGAAAACAGATAAAGCTTGGAATCTTGGTCTATGGTCAGGAGAGTATTAATACAGTGGAAGAGTAAAAGAAAGAAAAAGAAGGTTTTCTTGTAGTAAAATAGAGGTAGAAAAACCATGAAGAAATTCTTGTGGTCTGAATGGTAGAGAGAGATACCTTCAGGGAAAAACATGTAGGGTAAGGGTCTACTGAAAGGGCTGAAAATTTTTTTTTTTTTTTTAATACAATGAGATGAACTGAAGATATTTTGATAGATCAGAAATTCTATGGAAAAGTATGTGACTTCTTTTTTTGATGTGAGCATATAAGCTGAAACATAGACTCTTATCTCTCTGGAGAACCCAAAAAAAAGTGTCTATCTCCCAAGAGCAAAGCAGAGCATAAGCTCAGTGTCCAGGCTGAAAAATATTTTCTGAACATCAGAAATAACCATGGAGTAAACAGTAGAACAATACATTTTCATCACCTTGGAAACTGAAAAAACTTCTTGATTTTCCATCATATCCAAAATGGTGTGCACAGCCTCCAAGATTCCCACTGTGACCCAAGTGAAGACTGAGAAATAAACCACAGAGTCTGCTAATACCAATCTTCTCTGTTTAGGAGGAGCATATTCTAACATTGTTATATATAACGTAGTCACACAAAGAAATATGACAAAGTCAATAGATAGGAATCTTTTCTCAAAAATAATTTATGTAATGAGTAGTTTCCATGGCAGTGTTTACAGTCTGAGGTCAGTACCCAATGGCACTATTTAAAATTCTTTCAAGATATTCAGCTTAATAAGGTACTGGCCTTTGCAAGATCCAATGATGTTGAAATTTGTTAAAGCAGTATGTTTGTATTACATTTTAGTATTCCCATTTTTGATAGCTTAAGCAGGTGAATAAAAAGATTATTTCCAAAAGCACAATTTTGTACTTCTGTGACGTACTAAAGGTTAAATTTTGAGGAGCTTACCAGCTGTTCCTGTAAGAGCAAGCCATCATTTGAGAAGCTAGTCTTAAAGCAACTGACATCCTCCTAGAAACAGTCAACTTGAACCAGAGGTATTTAATACTTCCTCTCCAAATGGGGAGTATAAAAAAAATTTTCCTCAGTGGTATACAGGACTGAGCTGTTGAACGATAATACTCAATACTGAATAAATTGAAAGGGTAAGAGATGAGTCTGCAACTCCTCAGAACTAGACTGCATTTAAACTGAGAATATGTATTTCCTTCTTGGAAACTCACACATCAGCACACTGAGAATCTTATTAATAGAAAAAAGCTATTTTAGGTATCTGAAGTCATTTAAAATTGTATTACTTACAGTTTTCCCCTCTGAATTCTAGGAAATTGGACTAATGTTATACACAAATGAAATTTTATACTGTGAGGTAGGAAGGAGACCAAAAAATCCCTGTGATTTCTTATTAAAATATGTCTCAAAAGCACAGTTATTTTTCCTCTTAAGTATCTGACATATCAAAAATGTGAGAGAACATAATAAGGTACAAAATGTCATTAACAGCTTTTTGAGATGTTTCATGAATAATTTGTGAGACAAAAAATTCTGATACAGTCTCACTATCCTATCCCACCACAAAAGCTTTGAGATCACATGAAAATGCAGTTCACTGTGAATACAGGAATATATTCTATCAGATATTTTCAATTTTAACAATTACTAATGTACTAGCACTAACTGATATACAGCAACTGCACTGCAGAGCCAGAACTGCAAACTCACCCAGAAGCCATTGTCAAAGAAAATCCCCCAGCTACATCCATGCTCATGTTTATTTCTGTTATTCCTGGGAAAACCAGACCTGACAACAACCCCGTTTTGCGTTTTTCTCCATTTTTGTTTACTTGCTTCCCATAAAAATACTTGCCATTCCACAAAAAGAAACAAATCAAAAGTATTCTCATGTGTCTTCTGATCCAAATTTGATCTGTTCAAGTGCATAAGTGATTACAGCTAAGAGCAAGATTTGAAATATCTGAGAATGGATTCAAGTCTTCTGTGCACTTAGTTCCTGCAGATATTTTAGTCCAGTGACTGCTACTGCAGTGAAACTATTTTTGATTGAAAACATTCTCATCATCTCCTGTTCTCTCACACCTTTGGTGCCCTCTTATGACAATCAAAAGTAGTTTGAACATGGCTCACCAGTTTAGTTTCTGCTGGATGATTTGTTGATCTAAACTTGGCTTCAATTCTGTCTGAAGATTAAAGACTCAGCAGCATGTGTGTCACTGCCAACTTCAACCATCTGTCATTACTCTCAAGTATGTTTTAGCTGTGATATTTACCTACTTGCTCCTGTTTTGTAAACAGAACATAAAATGATGAATACCTTAGCACTTAACCTTTCCAGAGACCTTATCTTCTGATTTAGCACCCAGTCTTAACTCCTTGCTTAGATAGAGCTCTCAAACCAAAGCTACATCAATTATTTTCCCTGTGATAATTTAGCAACTAGATGACTAAAGTATGAAAAGTTTCATTTTGAAGCAGTATCTAAAAGCTTCAAAATATCCATAACAAAGTCTTACTAAAATAATGAACATTACAATACATATTAGTGTATGTCTGTATGCATATATAGTACATGAAATAAAAGTATAGACATTTGCAAGCAATACCACTGTATATGTCAGCAAGGAGAACAACATATAAATTGGGACAGAACTTCTCTGTAATTTACACCATAACAACAAGGACATCCCCACTGCATTACTAATAGGTGGTCTATCAACACAGGACATTCACTAAGACTGAAAATCATTAAGCAGTTCTGGCAAAAATGCACTGAACACTTCAGTTCACAATCCTGGGGTGGCTTTTTTGTATTATTGCTTTTTAAACTACATTGGTGAATCTGTGTCTTTATCTAGATAGGCTAAAATTACTGCTGTGATGTATAATTACTGTATAAATAGCATATACAGCTAACCAACTTTGTTAATTTGGTTATGCAGTGTCTCAAAAAGGTTCAAATCCAGGTTTCTCCAGAGGAGTGTTTTGTACAGCCATGACTAATCTCATTTAATGAATCTTGAAGAAAACAAATCTGAATAAGAGTTTACTGTTAAAAGGATTATGGTCAGTGCTATAACATTGTGTCTGAGGCAGGACCTACAATAAACATTTTTCTAATATTCACTCGCCCTTCCAGTCAAAGCTTTACATACAAAAGCAGAAAAAAAAACCTGAAAGAAAGAAAGCAACATGTTGGGTATAAGCTAGAGGAATTAACATATTGGGGGGAAAGTGAATAAATGGGAATGACATGAAAGGTACTGATGAGCAGAAATCACGTCATTTAAATGCAAGTGAAAGAACAGTGATTGCTACTAGCAGCATTTGTAACTTTGTTCCTTGTTTCCCAAGAAAGGTCTGATATGGCTTGTACCTTACCCTTTGCAGAGAATTAGTTATACTAGAATGATCTGCTTTTGTGTATTTATTCTGGAAACAGACTTTTATTATCATTCATCATCTCTTTTTCTTGGTGATCATTTTCATTAATGATGCACAATATTACAAGAAGAAAGAAAAATCTTTCAGCCTTTTCCTGTCTCTGTTGTTAAGAAGTGACTCCTTAAAACCTTGTCTTTAATGGTTTAGGGCAACCTCCAGAAGGGAACTATGTCCTTTCCCCCTTCTTGCATACGACCTGGTAGATGTTTGTCCATTGAACTCACTGACCCATCTGAGTTCCATGGTCAAAGTGCTGACAAAATATTTATTTTATGTCCATTATCTCCTGCTTGTGTCTCATTTATGACTGTTAGTGTATTTAGCCACCAGGTTGAAACTATAAAATGTATCTTTATGTCAGTGGGAAATTTTCTGTGTAAAATAAGTTAGCATATAAATCAAAAGCATTAGTGTTACTCTACTAATAGGGTAGAAAAAGAGTAGAAAAGAGTAGAAAAGTCTAGCACTGATTTTTGTATTTCAACATGCTCTCTCCCTGTTTTTCTTTGTTAAACCTACAATAACTATGGAGGTGGAGGTTTTAGTCTTTATCTTTTTTTTTGAACGTTGTTAGATTTAGTGTACATAAGGAATATCAACCATGGGGAAAACTTAGGACTGCTGCGTTTAAAAACAAAGGTAGAGGCATTCATAGACTCAACTCAGAGGCAGGGCTCATAAGGGACCCATTTTCCTCAGGTCTCAAAGATACCACCAGTTACAGCAGTAAATTTTTCTCAGAACACTACAGGCTTTCAAACAGGGTTTTTATATAAGATCAGATTACACAAGACAGGCAAACACGAATATCCTTATTATGTAGCTTAAAGTAACAAAGGCCTAAGTATGTAAGCATTAAGAATTTGTTTCTCTAAAAACCCTGATGTCATGTTGGATATACTGCTTTATTATATGGGGATCATTACTGAATTAATCATAAAATTCAAAAGATTGATTTTATGCAACATTATATTTTTGATTTCTTTTTACTACAATCTTATGTTTCACTTCACCTTGTTTGGGGATTATATATCTCTGTAAGAGTTCTGTTTTTCTTAACACTACCTGTTCTCAGGAAGAACTCTGCATCTACTTGAACGGAAGCATTAACTGCCTTGTAGTCAAATAACAAAAATGTGTCAGTTTTTTCCCCATGTCTGAGCCATACTACACACATGGTATTGCATACAGTTGGGTAAATATATTTACAGCCGGAGAGCTCTAACAGTTTAGAGGGGACTGTTCACTGGAAACAAGTGAGAAGACAATTATCTTTAAATGAATAAGAATATCCACGGATGTTAATTTTGCTGCAATATAGTTAAATTGAATAAGTATAAATAGCAGAATATCTTGAACCAACTTACCAATTTCCACTGGGAGATGGTTGATTTGATTTTTTGACAAGTCCAGTACTCTCAGATCTTGAAATAATGCGATGTAGGCTGGAATGGTCTGTATCAATGTATTGTACACGTGCCATTCTTTCAGGTAGGTCTGTTCTTTCAGAGAATCTGGGAATTCCTGTAAATGAAACAAGAACAGGTAAATAAAAAGCATCAGGATAGTATTTTCTTCTGCCACGTTTCCAAATTCAGGGCAAAAATTTCACAGCCAAACATCAGAACTTTGCCTTAGTTATCTTGATGTAGAACAGCAGTTTGCCAAACCCTCACAGGAGCTGTTTGCTTTTGAAGAGCATTGAATCTGTTTGTCACCACATATTCATTTTTTAACTGCTAATGCGGTCATTTTGCTCTAAAACTGAAACCTATCTGAAGCACTCAACCTGTTTGGTGTCTCCCATATCATCTCCTCTTTCCAACTGAAGGATTTGTTTAAAACACATTTCAGTGCTTTAATTCACACATTGAGATGTAGTAAAATGCAACATGGAACAGAAGAGTATGCGTATGAAGAATATCTAAGCAGGATTTGACACCAAAAAAAAAAAAAAAAAAAAAAAAAAAAAAAAATACATTCTTAATACCTGCTAATGTTTCAAAATTCATTTGCCAAGATGGAACACAGTTCAAGGAATGGAAATATTTCAGATAGGATACACAACACCTTTTTAAAGTATTTTTTTCAAATAATGTCTTAACTTCTTATTTCAGCAATGTTTGATAATTTTTACTAAATTTCTTCAGGAACGTGAAAATGCTCTATTTTTAAATCAGACCCCAATTGCAATTAATTTGTGCTTTAATGGTGTAGAATATTTTTTTTTAAGAATTCTAGCATTGTTACAAACACACAGCAAATACATTTATTTCAATTTTAGACTAGTCTATTTGTTCAAAACTTCCAATGTATAACAGTTACTGAAACTAAAAGTCTTAAAGCCTTTAATTCTTACAAAATTACTTTAGTTATTTAGTATTCAGTTCAGATGGACACATCTTTTTGAAGGATGTCATCAAATTTCTTTAACTTGAAACAGACAAAAATCAATTCATAAAGTTGAAGGTCAGATCATTTAAACTCCACTTTCTACAGCAGCACATAATTTACCAGTCTATCCTGGGTTTTATTCACTGTGTGTTGTTAACATCTGGAATAAATAATCTGAATGAGGTGCTATCACTAACTCTGTTCTATAAAAAGAGATATAAGTTTCAGCCTTTCATTTCTTTATGACTTCAAAATTTGTTTCCTGCACATGAAGAATACAATACAGTGGGAATTACTGCGTTTTATACAGAGGACACTGCCCACTTTTTTTTTTTTTCTTCTAGATTTCATAGATCCCCCAAGACAGTAACAAAAAAAATGCATTTTAATTACTTTTTATTAATTCTAAACTAGGAATAGTGCTACTAAACTCTTAGCTAAACTAAAACATCTAATTGTAATTAAAGATATACTGGACTGTTGATCATCAGCTGTTATTTGTTTGGTTGTTACTGCCTCTAATTACAGTTCTTTTCAAATTTACACATGCAGAAACTTAGCCTGTATATGGTTCTGCCTTGCTACCTGCCCTTCCATATTTGACATGGATCTTGCTTCATTTTCCCACCAGATATATATTGTATTGTGACCCATCTTCTATATTTGTCAGTTCATGGCAGTTAAAAAATAAAATGCCTGAAATGCCTCAGAGCTGGTAATTAGAAATCTCTCCAACCTTCTGGAGTGGCTTTCCACTTCTCCTTCAGTGCTGCACATTTTTCTGCAGCAAAATGAAAGAATAAATACCAACTGCAAATTAATTTAGTATTGTCTTTCTCAAATGTACAGAACTAAAAATGCAGCACATCATAGGGGATAGCATTTAGCTGGAGTGTCATAGATGCTGCTCTAGGGAAGAACGCCAATTCACAGAGAAGGCAGATGCAGAATAGTCATACTGGAAAAAAAAAAGATGTCTGGGAAACAGATTCCATTTGCCACTGTATTTCTCCACAGTCCAGGTCTGTCTTGATCTTTCTACTGATCTACTGGGTTTTTTGCCCCTTGTTGTCACAACCAACCACGTCCAGCTCCTTTAGTGGCAGATACAGCAGGGAACAAAGGGGAACACTTGTCCCTGTGAAGCCAACAGCCATGTCATTCTCCTAAAAAAGGGGATATCCCACAAACTTCTCCTTGATACATTGAAAACAGTGCAGCACACAAAGCATTCTCTCAGACTAACATCAAACTCCTTCACAATTTTAGAAAAATTAAGCCAAAATATTTTTTAATTATTATTAATCCAATGAAAATATTTTTTTTAATATTTCTGTATTAAGGGTAGTTTAAAGAACCAAGATAATCTTGTGCAGCAACTGAAATAAATTCAGACATTACTTCAAAAGAATGGAAAGAGGTTTCATTCTTCTACCAATTGCCCTGATTTTTCTTTCTTGAAATTATTTCTTTATATCTAATAATCATATTTACAATTTGCAAATGTAAGTTTACAAATACTTTGCTATAATGTGGTTTTTTAGCATTCTCCATCTTACAATAGATTTTATTTGTGTTATTGAAGCATAAATTGATGTGATACTTTACTTCATTTACAAACTAGACAGCATAGGAACCGAAATTTGCACAAGCTTTACATTTTCTCTACTCTCTGATTCCCTTGTTCTCTTTTGTAATCTTCTGCTGCCACACTAAAACTGGCAGACTGGTGATAAATTGTTGCATGAAGACTGACACTTGGAGGATAGCCAGTTCTTTGCCTTTAACAGCAGAACAATACGTCAAACTCCTTTGATTTTTGGGAGAGGAAAAAAAAAGAAAAAAGTATTAAAATAAATAAATAGCAAACATACAATCATTGCTGATTATACTATTTCTAATTAGGAGATAATTTACCTGCTACTCATGAGCCTGAACTAAAATTGTGATCAAAGCTCTGAGAAGTTTCAATTCTCTTTCTTTTCCAGCTATGTAATTGTATCTGTCATTGGCTAAACCAAAACCTTGGATCCAAATCTCGTTCATCTTTGAGAGAGTTTGGAGCTAGTTCCAAAACTAGTATGTCTCAGGGCCGCCTGTATTACCTGACTGAGTCATGAATTTGATGTTTCTGAGTGGAAAAAAATATCTGGAAGTTAAATAAGCACAAGAGATATTTTCCCTGTCCATTCAATGCAGAATTCTAATTGACCCTTTGTGGCAAATAAATACCTCACTGTCACTAACAGTTGGGAATAACAAATGGAAATTCTCTGTTCTCTGTGAAAACACACATCATGTCAGACGATAAAACCAGCAGAACAAACACAAATGTAGCAATTATTTTGCTGCCTTTTTCTGTGAAGAAATGATATGCAAAAAGGTAACGATTTATGAGAAAATATTTTACCATCACTCATTGATTTACTTGTGCACATTTGACATTAAAGTTTTTTAAGGTAGGTGTGTATCCATATCCTCTGCTTAGGTAAAGCAGTACAGCCAAGAACCGTCCTGCTCTGTATTTGAGTGAACATCATCACCTTTCCTTTGACAATATTAGTATCACAAATTAAAAAAAAATATTTTTCTTTAATAATTTCTGAAAATCATTTAAAATTCACTGATCCGCTAGAGAATAAACATTCATTAGTTAGGAGCAGAAAGTAAACACTCAGGGGAAGAACAGAGTTAAAGTGAATTCACTGAAAAATTCATATGCATATTCATTATATTTCACCACAGTTTTCATTCTGTTCTAATACCGATGCCATTTCTCTGAAGAATGAATTTAACTCAGTAGATACATGTTTACATGTACAAAGGATCTCAATTAAATATTTCATCAACTCTCCATCATTCTCTCAGAGGCAACTGATTCAGTCATGCCATTCAAGAGTCCAAAATCCTTATACAGCTCCTTTTCATGGTGGGTTTGTCTGGAAAACTCTTAGATAAATAAAAAGTTTTTCTGAAGCATGCCTTGGGAATGTCAAATTACTTATGGCAGAGTACACTATTCTCATGCTGTCAAGTCCCAAGAAAACACATGAAGATTTAGGAGACTCACTGCTGGGGCAATACCACTGCATTTTGCCCATTTTTTGTAGAGAAGTGAAAACCCTGTCAGATTTCATTCACAACATCAGATTGTAACTCTAACCCATTTGTTATTAGAAGACATTTTCTTGACTAATTACAAATATTAATTCATTACTGTTCCCAGCAGGCAGAAATGCACCACACAGGGATGGGCACACTTGAGTCATGAATATTTGGTTGGTATGTAAAAGAGGAGGCAAGGAACACTGAACCTTAAGGATGTTGTCACACAGCCTCTCCCAGGTAGAGCTTTGAGAGACAAAGGTAAAATGATCTCATCACTGCAGTTATCAACTGCTGTCCACAGCCAGAAGCTAACCACCCTGGACAGGCATGGCCAAACCAATACCCAAGCTACAGGAGGACTTTCAAATTCAGAGGGGCTCAATGAGTAGATGTTCTTCAAGTATAGAAGACTGATACTAATCCTACTTACAATGTTGTAATTCAGATTTCCATTGTTTATATGACCGCACTGTTAGAAAAACATTATGACTTGAGATGTCCAGAGGCTCTGTTAGAAGTGTGAGAAAAGCAAAACAGCGAAAAATCTGCAAAACACACATCTCTAACACATGGCACCCAGAACAAACACAGAACGTGATGGAGATCCAGTGATTTGTGTGGCACCAAGGAAGAATGCAAAGCAAGGTGAAAGCCCTGTAGTCCTGTTCTTCCACTTTTCCCAAGGAACATTTAACATGTCTATGCAGATTTATCTCCTGCTCTTCCCCTTCTCTCAAGGACTGCTTTGCAGTACTCTGCAGACCTTATCTCTCATTATTCCTCTTTCCCCAAAAAAACAGCGCACACTCTGCACCAAGGAATGTGCGGTGTCATTACTCAAGAAGCAATGGCTTGACCACAGTCACACCCAATCACACATACATGCTATGATAAACACAACCCCGAGTTTGTATCTAACTTGGAGGGACAATAATCCAACACCAAATCAGAGGGAGAGATGATTGGGTTTGTGCTCCTCGTCTGCCCCCACCAAGAAGGGATGCCTTTTGGTAAGATTTGGG